TATTTTTAGCTACCAAGACCTGGTTTAGCGCACTTGCTCCAGCCAGGTCCATATTATAAAGGTTGCTAGACACATGAACTGGTGGTGCCACTGCTAATATACAGGACTGGGCAGGAGACATTTAATACCAGATGCACATTATAGTTTAATCTTCCACTCTCCCATAAGGTATTAGTCAGAGTGCCATGGTCTGCAATGCATTTGATTTCTGTTGCATGTTTGGATGTATCATCACATGATCTGACAGCATTAGCATGAATTCTGCAGCAGACAATCCAAGCCCAGGCTGCAAGCTGTCCCTTTTCAAACCACATCAAATTAAGACCACCTGAGCTAAGAAGAGTCTGTGGGGCATAAAAGATCAGTTAATAATTAAGGAATATTCAGCGAGATCTCCAGATTTCTATAGCCCTTAATGGTATAGCCATGTCTATGCTCAAGATCTTGAGCCTTGTCCAGATGAGTACTTGCGCTGTGACACCATCTGGCTTTTAAGGATCCCACTGAGGTGTCTTAAGTCAGCTGGCATTGGCACTTTTAGCGTGGTGCTCCCAAGGTTTGAGAAAGCTCCCCTTGTCCCCCAAACAAGTTCGCACCCTTTGCCCCTACTTTTAACCACTACCTATAGCTCTTCCCCCCCCACCAAGTGTTTCATAAATTAATTCTCAGTCATTATTACAACATTAGACAAGATAAACTAAGTTTATATCTCACAAAAGAGAACATTGAATATTAGGGTAGCTATTATGAAGAACCTCAAACATGTATTTCTTTCTTTTAATAAAGATTTCCCTCATATTAAGGCCCATCTCTATGCCTCCTTATAAGATTCCCATTCCCAGTGTATGCAGTTTTAGGCTAGTATTTGTTTGATATTTTTATCCATGTATTGTGTTATGAAATAGCTGTACAGCATCTGTGAGTACCTCAGATGGGGGAGAAATATATTCAACTTCAAAATAAGAATACTCTATGTTAACAAGGTATATAATTTAAAACCACAACTTTTTATGAAGTGCAAGGTCTCAGAACAGTTTTGACTTAGCAAGGTAAAGCAGCAAATTTTCTAGCTCCATCCTGATTTGCCTTGCCACAATCTGAAGGAACCCCTTCAAAGCCACAGAAAAGCAGAATATACCAAATTAGCATCAACACTACAGCTCTCACTCAGTGGTAAAGCTCTCATTGAAGTCATTGGGAGTTTTGCCTGAATATGGACTGCATAATCAGACCCCTATACTGCCCTATACTAAGAGTTGCTCATGCCACAAATGATATATAGAACATGGCATGCACAAAGAGAGCGAGATGAGCCATCTTTTGTGCATTTATATTCCATTCAAAAACTATGCCTCATCTGAGCTAAACAAGCATACTGTTAAGGCATCACCTTGACGAGCACACAGTGTCTTCCATTCCCATAAATACTGAAATCTCCAAGTTTTGGCTCTCTCTTATTAGGAGTCCTTCTTTCCTAGACTTGCTATTTACTCTCTTGGCTAACTCCTCAATGGCGTGCTGCCATAGGTCTTGAGATCTAACTCACATTTTAAAAATCCAAACCAAGAACTAGACTCCTGAAACAAGAAAGGAAACAGTTTTATCTTAAGAACTAAACGTTCTTATGATAAACTTGTTGGGTGAATTGTCAGAGCAGCAGGTCAAACACTAGCAAAGAAAAGCTGAGGGCTTTTAAACTCACTCCCTCTTATGCTGTTCCCTTAATACAAATAAGCTGGACATGCAGCTATGAGACTGACAAAGTTTAAGTGTTTGTGAGAGAGAAGCACACTGGGAGTTCTGAAATGTGATAAACTCAATCTTAACCCGAAAAAACAATTTTTGTTTGTGGGAGATGTCTATCAATGTGGTCTCAACCAAAGCAGGAACTGCTAAAATGCTAATCCCAGCATTAGCTATCATTCACTGCATGGCCTTAAGAAAGTCACTTTATTTCTCTGTGCTTCAGTTTCCCCAGCTGTAAAACAGTGAATATGCTTCCTTATTTCATAGAAGTGTTGCAAATTAGTGGCTACCCAGAAGCATTATATAAGTGTTAAGTATTACATTATAAAGCTATTACGCTGATTACTGAGAAACATGAAACGGTAGTTGTAGCCAAAAGAGAAAATGCTAAATTTTAGCAATTCAGTTCCTCATAGTGATCCCAACACACTGACATCACTTCTTCCTGAAAAAAAGTCACCAAGTTAAGATGAGGCTCTTGTTTCTTTGCCTTGATCTGGTCAAGTGTTTAAATAACAATATCAGTTTTCTTTTTTAAAGAATTCTTCATAAAGACAAACATAAATATAGCTCAGTAGTCAGGTTGCTCTCTCCAGTCCACTTGAGTCATCAGGCCATAACTTTTGGTTAAGAAAAAAAAATCAGGATCCCCACCGCAGACAGCTACTCTCACTGTCACCACTACTTTCCAGAGGATTTATTTTACAGCCAAGGGTGATAGTTTATACTTCATGTAGAATAAAATAGAACCTTTACTGTACAACGGACATGTCTGAAGGCCTATTTTTACAAGTTACTTCTTTGTAGATCAATGCCCTATTTACCCAGAGGAGAGGTATACAGCATTATTCCCTGACAACATGCTTCACACCTCTGTCCTGGATGATCCACCAGTAGGTGTGAGAAGGGAAGTCAGTCCCCATGATCCACCCAATTCTTAACCTCACTGCTGAGACTGCTAATAAGGAGACTGTAGAGAAATTTTATTTGCAGTCCCATTTCAGAGGGCTTACAGCTGACTAAAGTATCACATTCCACCATTCTGAAGTTTTATTGCATTTCATAGCCTTTTGATCTATGCCAAGCCTTTTTAGTTAAAAAAAAAAGGCGCAAAACTACACCTATCTTAATAGCTGAGTGATTTTGCTTCAAGTAACATCCTGACAGCTTCCACTGAGACCTACTTCTGGCCATGTCTAAACCATTAACTATGTTTGAAAATTAAGATGTTTGGTTAAAACAGACATCACTTGGTTATATGCCGAGCTGCTTAATAGTGATATCTGATGAACCAGAAATACAAGGGGGCCTAACACAGGATTGAAAAACTGAGCTGTTTTAAAATAATAGCTATAAGTAGACAAACTTGTGGAACTACAATGTTTCCACTTGCTTATGACTGAACATAATTAAGGCTAATGTTTTCACAGCCCTTGGGAAATGTAAGTTCATAAGATAAGCATTATTAAAATATGTAACAGAACAGGAGAGACTTTTTCAATGCAGGAACTGAACAAAATTAGCTCTTATTTCTCTTTAGGTTTAAAATGTAAATACTGTAAACAATGCACCACCTTTTAATAAAAATTCTCCCCTTTTTTTTTTTAAAAGATGGATGAAATTCCTCCCCAGGCATCCACAGCCAGTCCAAATAAGGTTCATAGTCTACCTCGGGAATGACATCCATAATCACAGCACTCTATCTATAGGGCAACCTCCTTATGAGACTATCCCCCAGGCTTCACTACATGCTGTCAGCATGCATTTGTGTAGTGAATGATCATACTGTCTCCCTTTAAGCTCCAGTGAATAACTCACTACATGTGTGTGAGCTCCACCTGGCTGAGGACTAATTATCAAAGGCCATTCCCAAACTCTGGCTTTCTAGATATTGCACTGCTGGCTAACCCCCAAAGCTACTCTCTCTATTGAATGTATTCAATCCAGTACATCCACAATGTACACATAATTGTTAATAGGATTTCACAGAAAGGAGTCCAAAGGCTCAGCTACAATGTAAACTAAGATAGTGTTGATATAGAAGACAGCTGAATTGACATTACCCTCTCATTTCTAGCAGCAATATTAAACTAAAATCACAACAAAAGACCGAATGTTAAACATCTAAGCAACTCACAGGAACCTCAGGGTCCAGGCTGCCACCCTGTTCCACTTTGTCTATGTATCAAGCAGCAGCTATTAACACCTGAACACAACAGGTAAAAATTCATTTGGCCCAGGTTAGAGTAGCAGGTAGAGATGACAGTGTAAGCATCTAAATGGTCAGCAGAGGCTCCATACATGTGAAATTTGACATATTCCTGTCCATATCTCAGTCCTGTAACAGGATGGGTTAAGGGTAGTGTGACTGAATATAACAATTTAAGATGCCCAAGTGAGCAGCCTTTGTAACTGTGCAATTGTATAGTAGTGATGGCTGCTGAGCAAAAATTTAAACAAATACGACGTATAAAATAGATGTTCTCCAATACATGGGCATGAGAGATGGCATTAGATTAATTAGGGCAGCTAAATCTACATTGTACAAGCTTCCAACTAATCCAGGAACTTCTCGATTAACATTTTGCCCTCCTCTCTATTAACCGCTTCCAACATCATCAGCTCTTTTAAAATAGCATCTACTATGGGAGGTGCCCAGCACAGGGCAGTGTGCACCAAGCACAGCATGTCAAAACAGGAAGACTTCAGGAAGACACTCAGGTGCAGGCAAAAAACGAGGTGCATTGCACATCAGGGGTTCGGGAGAGCAAGGGGAAATCTCCACCCTTCTTGGAGCAGAAAGAATATCAGCACTGGCCACTGCTCGGCTCCGTAAGTCTGAATGCCCAGACTGGAAACGGGCAAGTGGGGTCGCCCATGTGCCCGCCCTAAGGGGAAGGGCACAAACCCCAACTCCCTGATCTCTTCCCCCCCCTTTACCTGTGAAGGAAAGGCAGCTCCCCAGCCTGCACCACTCACCCGCCTGCTCCCTCCAGACAGTGCACCCGCAAGGCCCCCCAGCCCCCGCACGCACACTCGGGGGCCCCCGCCCAAGCGCAGTAACCCCCCCCCTCTAACGGTGCCCAGCCCAACGGCCCCAGCGTCCCCCTCCCCCTACGGGCCCATACAGCGGGAACCCCCAGGCCCCTCCCCTCTGTACTCACAGCGCGGCAGCCCCCCCCACCCGGTCCCCCGCCGCCACAGAACGGGAGGGGCCCCCAGCCCCGCCCCCCGGCAGCGCCCCGGCCCCTCACCCTTCACGATGCGCTCGGTCGTGGGCAGCTTGTTGTGGCCGCGCCCGGTCATGGTGCCGCCTCCCCGCGTCGGCTCCCGGACCGCCCCTCCCCCCGCGGCCTCCCCCGGGGAGCCGGGACTCCGACCGCGGCTGAGCAGGCCCCGCTGACGACGGCGACGGCGGTGCAGGGATCCGGATCCGCTCGGTGTCCGGGCGGCGGCGGCAGCGGCTCCTCCCAAGCTCTTCTTCTCCCCACCCCCTCCCCGAGCCTACGCCGTTAGCGCGCAGGCGCCAACCTGCCTCCGCCTCCCGAGGAGAGCGCGCGCAGGCGCCAACCCCCTCATTTCCTCTCGTGCGCAGGCGCCACCTACCGTCTCTGTTCTTCTCTGCGCGCATGCGCCAACTGGTGTTCCTCGCCCCCACCCCCGCCCGGCCCTTTCCTGGCGCACGCGCACTGCCCCCATCCGCGCTGATGGTCTCCCGCAAGCGCCTTTAGGAACGGGCCTCCTTCGAGGTCACGTGACCAAGCTGCGGGGAACCCTTTCCTTCTCTCCCCCGACCCCCCCACTTTGAATGAGCAGGGTTGCTAAGAGCTGAGGGTCCGGCCTTGCTTAGGGCCTGCGGCCTAGGGTGGGAGGCAGCCTGAGCCCAGGCACCAGGGCTAGGGGGGAAGCTCAGAGCCTGATTCACCCCCATAGAGCAGAGCTCGTGCCCCCTGCTGGAGGCCCAGGCTTTCACTCCCTGCTCCCCTGGGAACAGGGGGCTGGGGCTGCCCCCTTTGAGGACAGAGCTGCAGGAGACCCCTTAACCCAGCCTTATTTTTTCAAATAAGGCGCATCCGAAAGGGAAAGGCCTCATATCCACCGGGGCAGAGGCTTAAAGCATGGCACAGACCACAGGATTTTACATCCTACAGTGAAACATGGCAGGGAGAGGACACCCCTATGCACCCCTCCGCCCAGCTTTGTGCAGTAGTTTTCCTTTAACATGTATAGGGATTGCAATGTACACAGGACACTGCCTCTACCGCCACCCCTCTGTCCAACCACCAACGTTACATGCTAATACACAGTGCCTCCTCTCCACCCTAGAAATAACAGGCTGCAGTGTACTTAGAGCCATCATCCCTATCCACAGGGCTCTAGCTAGCCTCTCAAAAGGCAAAAAGAGACATCACACACTCAGAACACAGGGTTCCATTAACCTGACACACTATTTGAATGGTGTGCATTTAACAAAACAATAATATTAAGCTCACCTTCAAACAGGAAAAGGGGAATTGCAAGTACTTGTGTACAAGCAGAGTAATTGAGCGAGACTGACAAATTTAGAGAGAAAGGATAGGTAGCAGTGACTGAAACCAGAAGTTTGAGAATTATTGGTAAAGAGGCATCTATCTTTAGAGAAAACTTTAAAAATGGCTCATTGAAACAGTTGGAAAAAAGTCATTTTAAATTAGCAAAGAAGAGGGGTTCACTGTAGCAAAAATCGCAAAAGTTTCTGGGATTTACACTGAGCCAATACTCTGAGGTACAGAGTTGCTGACAGAAAAAATGGGCACGTGGGGAGCCATGATTTGAAAACAGTCAAGAAGCTCTGGTCTATGCCTAACAGAGCCACGTTAATACTGAAGAAACCTTACTGATCAACAGTCCAGATGAGCATACTTGATTCCTCAACTCAAACACTGCATTAGGAGGACAGCAGTAAGTCACATTTGTCCCAAAATTATTGTTCAGGGTTATTTATTGTAAGGGCAGCCAGGATAGTTCAAGGTTTGTTTGTTTAAACCTAGTAGGAAACAGTTGTTTTTAAATAAATATTCTATTGCTTTCAAACAAAGTTGTTACAACCAGGCTACTGCAGTTTTGGGCTACGGTACAAGAGCCTGGAATGTGACATTGAGTCGAAACTGACCATGCTCAATTTAAAAAAAAAAAATAAAAGCAGCAAGAATGACACAGGCACCGCTGGCCCAGATTCGCTTCACGTGAACTAGAGTGAAATCCACCAGGCATCCTGAAGCCCCCTAGGGGACTCTAAAGTCCTAATAGGCAATTGGCTTGCTGCCCAAAGACAGTATTTTGAATGGACATCTCATTTTAAGAAGGTGAACACTTAGAAAGTGAAAATGTGAGAAAGGGGCACCACAAACCAAAGTATTCAACAGATCAAATGATGCATGAGTGGGCATCAGTGCCATCTTCTGTTTAAAACGCAGCACTGCACTTAAAGCCAGCGTCCGCACAAGCAGGGTAATCAGAAGTTATAGATGGAAAAGTCATATTACATCATCCAATGCAGCCCAGCCTTCTAATGTAGGATTGCTCCCTCCAGCCCACCCCCAAGTCCCCCTCACCCCCCAGTCTAGTTTTAAACATCTGAAGTAATGAAGCTTCAGTCTCTTCCCTAGGGAGACTATTCTGCAACCTTTCAGGCTATATACAGTACTGCCTTTAATCAGAATTCGATACCGCACAGAGCACACTTGCAATTCTCTTTCATTACAGAATAGATTTTAATTTATGGAATTTTACAAATAAACTTTACAGTTCACAAGACATAAGTTATGTTCTTTGTTTCAACAAGTATTTCTTATAACACCTGAGATATTAAAATACTGAGATGGAACTTGAGTTGCTAATCAGAGGTGTAAAGGGAAATATAAATAAAAACACTCACAAGCTCAGCTTTATGTCAATTTCCTTTCTCAGCCATCCCTCCAGTTCCTCCCACACACACCCTCCCTCCTTCCGGTTTGTACCATCCTGCACAAACGAGAGACAGGAGCCTCTTCCAGGCACCCCTTTTAATTAATGCATTGATTACCTGCTTCCCCCCGCTACACGTGTAGAGAATGTTTTTAGAGGGTTTCATAGGTAACTCTCTAACAGGAGCTCCATTCCTATGAAGGTCTTTGCACCCCCTGCAATTCACCCAAATTTCCAGCCTGCAAATTTCTTGATAAAGTCAGCTCCCAAGAACACTGACGGGAAACTAGAGAAAAGGACTAAGGATTTTCTCTGTTATCTTCAAGGTCTTGGAACAGCCCAGAGGAAATTACATATCAGTTCTTCTAGAGTTTTCTACCACCTGGAGCACAGCTTAGTTTCTAGTTTTGGTTTGTTACTAAGGACGATGGGGAGGGTGTTGTTCCAGGAGAGGGGCAGATTTCCCAGATGCTGGCAGTGCAGTGCCTCCTCTCCGTGTACCATTGAACCATCCTTGCCAGAGAGAGCTCTGACACTATGAAAAAGCTAAGCCATCTTCTCCCTTTTGGAATGCACTAGATCAGTGCTTCTCAAAGTCGGGACGACGCTTGTTCAGGGAAAGCCCCTGGCGGTCCGGGCCAGTCTGTTTACCTGCCGCGTCCGCAGGTTAGGCTCCCACTGGCCGCGGTTCGCTGCTCCAGGCCAATGGGGGCTACAGGAAGCGGCGCAGGACGAGGAACTTGCTGGCCACCCTTCCCGCAGCCCCCAGTGGCCTGGAGCCGTGATCGACCGAACTTGCAGACACGGCAGGTAAACAAACCGGCTCGGACCGCCAAGGGCTTTCCCTGAACAAGCGGCAGCCTGGCTTTGAGAAGCACTTCACTAGATGGCATGTGCTTTCTAAATACTTCCTAGAGAGAGAATAGGCATCCCAGACCTTTCCCCTTAAGACAGGGTTTAATCTCTCACTCTCAGACATTACTTAATTCAGATACAGCGCTGCGGCTCTCCTACCAGTGGTAGTGCATGCTTTTTGATCATAGGCAGTTTCCCTCTCAAGTACTGTTCCCAGAAGCTGGCCTCCTCACTGTTACAATGAGAACTTCTCCTGGTCAACTGCTGATGACAGAAGCTGGCCTGACCAAAAATTTTCCCGTGTGACTCACAGAAGAGTGCCATCCTATTCCATTCACCTCTCAACTGGGCAGCAGGAATCCCACAATGATGGTTTTCCCAGGGGAAAGGAGATGGTTCTGCTGCTTTCCAAAGGCCCCTATTCTAGTCTTTTTATAAACATGTCAAGGAAGGGTTTGGTGAAATGGAGTTGGCAAAGTTTGGGTGAACCCATATCAAGCATTCTTTGGTGAAGCACCATAAAAAGATGGTGTAAACTAACTAGGATTTAGGTCTGGGCCATAAAAGGCAAGAATGGCGTGGGGCAAAGACTTTCTCCTGGCTGTGGAGGAAGACAGCACGCCAGCTACCTAAGATACAGGCAGTAAACATGAGATACTATTGACAAGGTTGTAGTCCTTTGCCCAAGTTGACAGAGCTGCTCTGAAACTGTTTTTAAAATAGGATAGCCCAGTAGGCTATTATGGATAATTGGTCATGCGAACAAAAGTCTGTATTGCACAGGTACTACAGGATTCTACGCTGTTCAACATGTTTACAAGGACACTCAGTGCTATGAATGAGACAGGGACTATGGTTGCTGCCATATGTAAATGACACCCAGCTGTATCTCTCCATTAGGGCCAATCATGCTAGTGCAATGGAACAGATGACTGACAGCTACAGGAGACTGGGGTTTGATGTCCAGTCTTTACTGAGCAAGTTAAAGTTAAGCATTAGAAGGCAGTCAAAGCAAGTCATGATCCTGCTGGAGGTGCTGTGGCTGCCAGTTGTTGTCCCAGGTGGTTTTGGTTATGAGATCTATTCCTTTGGAGTTACTCCTATCTCAGCTTGCCCTCATTGAAGGGAGGCAGGCAGTGGGCCTGGGTGTAGCTGCCTAGCTCACATTTACCAAAGAGGGGCCTAAATCCTTGAGGTGTGGGGTGTAAAAGCATTGGATATGATAAGTAAACAGGCTTTTCACCTTTCTTCTGAAGGGGTGCTGGGGGAAACCATCAGGAATCGCTTCTGCTCAGCCTCTGCCATGAGGACAACATAACAGGGCAACACAACTTTGTGCGTCAACCATCAAGTTACAAGACAAGGTACTGGACAACAACTATTCCTTTACGCACCAGGCAGCCAATCATGCAGACAGAATGATCACAAGAGACAGAGTGGCAGCAACAAACTCGACACCCCTCACAGAAATAATAAGAATAATCATCATCCCTAGCTCTTATCTCGTGTTTTTCATCAGTAGATCTCACAGCACTTTACCATGGAGGTCAGCATCATTATCCCCATTTTTCAGATGGGGAAACTGAGGCACAGAAGGGGGGGGGGGGAGTGACTAGCCCAAGGTCACCCAACACGCTTGTAGCAGAGGCAGGAACTTCTGTTAGTCAGCAGCCATAAATTCACAATCATGGGAGGCAGAGTCTGGAACCTCATTCCCTGCCCAAGCTGAAGGGACCAAACATTAACAATAAGTTTGTTCACCTAGTGAATCGGAGGAAAGCTAGCCCAGAAGCAGAGCTCTGAAATGCCTTTAACTCCCTTCCCAACTCTTACTGCTACCCAGAGCTGGGTTCCAGTTCCACAGCCTGTGTTCCTGGGACCCTGTGCCCTGAAGAAACGTACAGTATTTTTAAAAAACCTTTAAACTCAGCAGTGTCAGTGTTTAAAACCAGATGTCCAATTCCAAGTGAACTTGGTCACAGTGTAAGGATCGCTCTCGCAGGAAGGCCTGAGAAACTGGCACCAGGACTTGTGTTCCACACCGCCCTGGTCTGACTGCAGCTGCCATGCTCTTCCCTTGCAATGGTGAGATCCTGCAGCAGCTGCGCTTCACGGCTCCGTTCCCTCTGCTCTCAAAGTGTCCCGAGTTAGGATGGAGGGATCTAAGCACTTTTCCTCTTTGTGGAGGGACTCCTGCAAGGGGCAGCGGTGTTTGGCTGTTCTACCTCCTGGAAGCCACCCAGAAGTGTCCATTACAGTAATTCTGACCACCAGATGCAACTGTATAGTTCATTAAACCCCTACAGGAGCAGCATAACTCCCCCCTTCCCCCTCCCGAAGCCAGTCTGACCGCATGTCAAACACTTCTCCTGCCCTGGTATCTTCAGTGCTGCCCATGCAGCCAGTGGGAAGAGACCAGAGCAGCAACAGCTGTGACTAGGAGAGCAGGGAAACCAAGGCTGCCTGCCCAGTTCAGTATCCACTACCTGTGCCAGGAAAGGATCGTTCCAGCACAGCAGCAGGATACGTTCTTGCTCATCCCTCTCCCTGTGCAACCTTCCCAGACCTCTTCATTTCGCTTTCACACTTCGACCCTTTCCTCCAGCCCAGCGCACACTGCAGAGACGCTGGCAAGTGAAGCTTTTGGAGGAAAAAGAGCCACTCTCGACTCCATATTTAGGTCCAAAAGGCAGGCATGCTCCCCATGCTAAAGAGAAACACTGGCTACCTGCACAACCGGAGCATTGGAGGCTACAGGTAATGCATGTAAATACTGGGGCGGTCCTGGGACCCACGGCTGTTCCTATGCCTCACATTTCCATTGCCCGTGGAGGGATGGAGTACGAGAGATGAACTAGTACAAGCCTCAAGCACAGCGTCTGCCTTGGTAAAGTGGCCTCCCGTCCTGCGCTGACACCACATCCATCCCCCATCCACAGCCACCCGAAGAGGAAGGGAAGAAGTAATGTCCATGGTTGGAGCTCTCCGAAGGGGGCGATGCAGCCAGAGAGTCCATTCTCCTGATCCTCTCACACGTCCTTCCTAGGAGTCCCTTTGATGCAAGGAGAGTAGAGGAAGGGACGCTACACTGGATACAGGTCCTTGGGTCACTATAGATCTAGGGCCAGGAGCTTCATCAGCCCCCCTGAAATAAACGATACAAAGTCTATGGGATAGTTTTAAAAAAATGCCTCTTTTCTGTAGTGCTTTTGCAACGCTGATGTCTCATACAGGTGCCGTCAGTCCGTGTGCTTGCGGGTGGGAAAGCCCAATCAAACCAGGCCGGTCCCTACCCTATCTGGATCTGGCCTGAGAACATGGTGAGCAGCAGCATGATAATGAATCCGGTCAGCAGCCCTGCGTTCTGGATAGCGAAGGCAATCAAGGCACTGCCGTTCCGCTCGTCCTCCTGGCTCACTTCATTCATCTCTGGGAACTGAGAAAAGAATTGGAAGGTTTCAGTTGTGGAAATTCTCCACCCTCCAGGCTCCCTGCGAATTGGCACCTGCACATCCCAGTGCTGTATCCCCACATCTCTTATTAGGCATTAATTTATATAGAGCTGTTCACAATCAAGGCCAAGTGTTCTTGATCTGACCCCGTCCAACCCTGCTAGGCTAAGATCTGATAAATTTACAGCTCAAAGTGGTCTGGCTATAGGCTAGTTACACATCCTCCATTTGGTGGGCACAAGGGAATAACCATCCTTCTGTACGCGATATTGTCACCGTTCTCCCCTCCGTACCCAGGGTTGCAGATACTCCTGACTTACACAGGCCAGTCAATACCCCGCCTCAAAAATCACCCAGAGGCCTCACTGTGAAAAGCGGGGCGGGAATCCTGGTGTACCGCACATGATGTTGCCGTTAGGCAAGTCCTCTTAGTTCCCAGAGCTCTGCATCCTCGAAGCTTTGCAGTGCAACAATAATCCTGACCCTGGCTCATCAGTGCTCATTGGGCAGTGGTCACTGCAGGAAAACAACAACCCTGCAATGCTCCCATCCCCTAGTCGGCAGCCCTCCATTACTCTTGGTTTGGGATTTACCATATCAGCCAATGCAATGTAGAGGAACATCCCACCAGCCAGAGCAAAGATCCAGTTGGCAGAGAAGTGGCTGCCAGCCAGGATCCCAAAGCCCAGTCCTAGGTAACAGCAGCAGGCCGAGATGAAGTTGAAGAAGAGCGCCTGCTGGATTGTCATTCCGGCATTTAGCAGGATGACGAAGTCACCTGCAAAAGGGAGGAAAATGTAAGGGGAGGAGGAGACAGACAGCTACACATGACCATCTATGGGATGGATGCATCAGCAAACTCCTGTCCAAATGCAGCATCCCACTGGAGAACAGCACTCAGCAATTAGGCCCCCTACTCACTGAGGTACTTAAGCACGTGCATAACTCGAGGCATGTGAGTAGCCCCACTGAAGTCAAAGTCAATGGGTCTCTTCAAATGCTTCAATGCTCAACCCTCTTGCTGAATCAAGGCCTCACATAAAATTAATAACAACAATGCCTTGCTCTTATAGAGCATCTTCATCCATAGACCTCAAAGTGCTTTAAAGAGTAGGGTATCATTATCCTGATTTACACCTGGGGAAACAGAAGTAAAGAGAGGGGAAGTGACTGGTCTAAGGTCACATAGTGAGCTGGCAGTAAAGGCAGGAATAGAACCCAGGTCCTCCTAAGCCTCAGAGCAGTGCCCTATCCACCGCACTACACTGCTTAAGAAGCCATCTTGTGTCAAGCCCCATCAAGGCAGTTAACTGCAAGAACAAGGTCACCCTCGCACAAAGGAACCAAAACTTTGCTACACTGACAGACTCGCCGATTCACCAGGTGCCCAAGGTCTACATCTACTTCCACGTATAACTCTCGACATTCAAACACAAAACAGATGTTTTACCAGCTGTCTCACAATCTACATTTAACCAAAAACTCCCCTGGTTTTCAGAACAGATTACACAATGTGATTCAGCAGCTTTCCTCCCCTGGTTTCACATACCACCCTCCACCACACGCACACACTTCTCTTGCATTGACTGAGAAGTTGGTACATTTTGTTGACGGTTGAAAGAAAATGGTGAAATAGGTTCAAGTTAAACAAGTGCTTTCACTCTTTCCTTAAGGACTTAAGCACATGCTTAAATACTTGGCTGGCTGGGGACCAAATGCAGTTAGGGTGCCCAGCTGAAGAGCCACATACCCAGCTCGTGGGGGAACTCCTCGCAGAGGATGGCCACGGAGGTGCTGATCCCTTGGAAGACAGACACGGTGAAGGAGGCACCGATGGCCAGGCCGTCGATGAAGTTGTGGAGCCCGTCACTCAGGGTGATCATCCAGGCCAGCGTGCCAATGTCAGAGTATCGCACCCCCTTCAGCCAGTAGCACGCACTTTGGGAAGCCTGCAGGTCCTGCAAGGGAGCACCCAAAGTCACATGTGAACCCCACTGGCTGGGTCACCAACCCACACCATACTGCGGACAACTCCATTTGTCTTACTGCGCTGCCCAGCGTCATGCCCATCTCTGCAGACTAAGCCAACGCCTCCAATCAACAGCTGTAACTGGTAACAACCCCAGGGAAGAGAAGCACTAACCTGGACAGACAGAGAGCCCACAATGATCTTCTCATCCACAGATGGGTTCTTGCACTCTAGCTCACTGGTTCTGTGAGGGATCATGTGATCCATGTCCCCATTCTGCAGTTTTTCAGTGACCCCTTCCTCCTGGTCCTTCTTGGAGGGGAGGGTCTCAGGGCTGTAGTGGCTGTGCCCATGATGGTGCTGGAAGGATACAGAGATTTACAGGCTTTAGCCACATGCAGCATGGATGCATGCAGTCACTTGTACATTTCCGGCTCAAACGCCTGGGGCATGCTGATTATTTTAGCTTGCCCACAAGCTAGAACAGGAAACCTCGCAGAGACAGCGATGCTGAAGCTGACTAAAACCACTAGGAAACTAGTCTCTTTGGTTATTAAAACCCAACATTGTGATTGTACATTTTCATAGCATCTTTCATCCCAGAGCACTTCCACCTCTGCTAACCGACTATACAAACTACACACACACGCACAAGTCACTACAGCTACTTCTGGGATGGCATGTGACAGCTTTTGGGGTGGATCAGGAGAAGGAAGAAACATACAGCATCATGCCCAACTGTCTCTTACTTCCCCCTTTTCTGTCAAAAATATCACCCTCCCCTAAATGTAAAAAGGGAACCATTGTTTGTTATACAAAGATCTAAGCCAGGGGTGGCCAACCTGTGACTCCGGAGCCACATACAGCTCTTCAGAAGTTAATATGTGGCTCCTTGTATACGGACCGGCTCCGGGGCTGGAGCTACAGGCGCCAACTTTCCAATGTGCTGGGGGATGCTCATTGCTCAACCCCTGGCTCTGCCACAGGCCCTGCCCCCACTCCACCCCTTCCTGCCCCTTCCCAAGCCTGCCATGCCCTCGCTCCTTCCCCCCAAGCCTCCTGCACGCCACGAAACAGCTGATTGGGAGGTGCGGGGAGGGGCTGATCGGCGGGAGGCGCTGGGAGCGGGGTGGTGGGAGCTGCTGGGGGGCTGCTGACTTAGTACTGTGGCTCTTTGGCAATGTACATTGGTAAATTCTGGCTCCTTTTCAGGCTCAGGTTGGCCACCCAGGATCTAAGCTTTTCTCTTCACACAGTATTTAAGAGTCAGTAAAGCAGGCAGCCTTTCCAGAGTGCACCTGTTTGAAAACTGCATCCGAGTAAGCCCACTGGGAAGCACCTTTCTGGCAGCGATACCATCTGGGAATGCCTAACCCGCTCCCCCATGGGACTAGCTCAACCTCACCTGATCTTTCTGCTTGAGAAGCATCTTCAGGATTTTCTCTGTGAAGAAGAACAAGTAAAAGCCCCCAAAGACCACTGCAGATTTGGAGACATAATGATCCTCCTTAGGGTTGAATCCAAAGGCCTGAAGACAAGGGGCAACAGAGAAAGGTTTGAGAACCATGAACTCCAGCAGCATCCCTTGTCTCCCCTACCCTTGTCTCTAGGAGCTCTCAGTACAGGGACAGCAGAACAGCACTTCAGTTAGTCTTTTCTCCCCCAATGAATGCTTCAGGGAAAGGCTTAACACACCTAATTGTGCAATACTACTGCATGCTAGAAGGGAATGTCTTCCTGACCCCAGACGTAATCAACTCATGCCCTGATGCATGAGAACTGTTAGCCCATCTCATTTTTATCTCAGACACAGTGCCACTGCAGATCCTACTCACATTAATCTAAAGTGTCTAATACCTCTATAAATCTCACTCAGCTACTCATCTTGATATCCTGTGGCTGTGAGTTCCACAGGTTAATTATAAAATGCCTTTGCTTTAAATCTATTGGTTTTTAAATTCACTGTCCCTCCTCTCACAAGTCAGGTGTGAATATAAACACAGGCAGGTGGGCCAATCAAATCTCTTGTATTAGCAAGCCCACTCCCAGAAAACATCTTTAGCTGACCTCTCCTCTTGAGCACAGAATCAGGAGAAGCAACTGCACCAACAATCACTTATCAGGCACCTGAGTAGGGGTTTTCTGGACAGTAACACTCCACCTTTCTCAGCTTATTCATTTCTTGTGTGCATAGGTGGTGTTTTCGGCAAGTTCTAGCACATGGGCTTGGAGACCCTTTTATCTCAAAACCCAGACTGTCTAAACCACTTCTCACAATGAACTCACCAGTGAGACTATAGCCTGGAGCGTGTGCACTCTTGGCCAGCACGAACACTGAGCCTTATATAAAGGACGCGAGTGGCACCAACAGGCAGCTAAGATTCCCCTCAACATGGAGTCTTCTTTCCACCCCATCTGCTCTCTACCATAAAAGTGACCCAGTCAAGCCTGGCTTTGTTCACACATCAAAGCCACTTTCTTTATATGGCCTGAGAATGGCAAAGGCCTGGTCTACACTTAAAAGTTAGGTTGCCATAACTCAGGTGTGAGGAGAAAAACAACAACCTACAGTTATGCTGACCTAATCCCCACGGTGGACGTAGGTAGGCCGATGGACAAATGCTTTTTTTTTTTTAAAACACAGCAACTATAGCTCAGGGAGATGGTCTTCCTACAGTAATGGAAAAACCCCTTCTCTTGGTGCAGCCTGCTTCTAAGATATGGGGTTATGCCAGCATAGCTATGGAGTCTCCGTAGTGTGGACGTACCCTAAGGCTTTGAGGTTCTCTGAACAGTGCTAGATTATGGCCAGACACCTCATCCTGGCAGGTAAATACCATCAGGGCGATTGGGCACACAGGCACTGAAAGGTGAGGTGAAAGTGACTTGTCCATGGTCACACAGTCAATGGCAATGCAGCTAGGAGCTTAACACAGTCATGCAGCAGAATTTAGCCTTGCTGATGGGCCTTAAATATTTCCAGCACCAGACACAGACACAGACCAGGTTTGACCATATCTTTGTCTCCCTGCAACAGTCACTCATGTTTCTCGTTAAGTTCCACCGGCTTCTCCTCAAACCAGACAGACAGACAGACAGACAAACACACACACGCACACGACAGGCCCAAAGGCCCTCACCATACCTCGGGGATGAGCTGGAAGAGGGCATTGGAGTAGAGAGTTCCAATCGCCAGAGCTATGAAGTAGAGGAGCAGCCGCTTGTAAAAGGTCTTCTTCATGAAGGGCACTACGCTGGCTCCCACCAGGGAGCAGAGGGAGATGACGGTCACGCAGAGGAAACCGTAACCCCAGACTGCAGCGTGCGTGCCAACCCCACCCCAGTTACACCACAGAGGGCAGGAGAGTCCGGGGAAATCAACACAGGACAGCAAAGAAGTGAATCCACACCAGAGAGAGAGAGAGAGGGGGGAAGGGAGGAGAAAAGGGGACATTCATTAGTGATTTCATATCAATCTGGAATTGGTTCAGGGAGGCCAGAAGCAAACCTGGTACGAGATGGCTCTGGAACTCTGACATGCCGGCCCCCTTGGGGAGGGCAGGATCGCGGCTGTAATGCTACAGGGAATGTGAATCAGCGGAGCTGGCCCTGCAGCCCACACTGCAGGATGCAGCTGCTGTGACTAACTGCATCACAGACTGATGAGAGGATGGATTCTCTCCTTGGGGAAGCAGGGGTTTGGGTGAAGGAATGAAATTCCTCATCCTAACAAGGCTCTTACTTTACAATCAACACTCCAAGAATGGAGGTTAGCTTGTGGCAGGTGGACGTGAAGTGTATTTTGAAGAGAGAAATAAAATCAGGGTTCCACTCCCAAAACAGATTCACTTTCCCGGTGACCTTGTCAGGCTCCCAGTGGGCACATGCCATTCCCAAGGGCATAAGGCCCCTTTAAGGGGGGGGGAGGGGAAGAAGAGTGTCAGAGTTCCAGCATCCTATGGAGCACTTCAGTTTTACCGCCAGCATCTCATACACTCCACCCTCATTGCACAGCAGAACCTATTCACCCTGTGCATGCCTAGTGCACTCATCACTGGAGTATCTGGGCACCAGACAACATCAGAGAGGCCAAGCGCTCCGCCTGGGCTGTACAAGGCCCTTCCAGCCTAAGGGATTAACCTGTGTTTACGCTCCATGCCGTGGAAGTTCTCCTGCAACGTGCATCCCATGGGGGTGGAGTGTACGCCATCATTTTAGTTCCCATCAGATCAGGAAACAAGGCATTTTGTTTGGTTTTTAAGAGAAAAAAAATACAATAAAGTTACAGTTCTGGAGCTGAAAAATACCTCCCCAAGTCCCACAAACAAGGGGCTCCATCAGACTCTGGTTTAGAGATGTGGTAACAGCCCTTGCCAGCATGGGATATGCAGGAATACTGGGAGTTAGGTTGAGACCACCAAGCCTGGGAGACCCAACATGAAACGTACTAGCTTTGTTTTAGCTTGCAAGGGGCCGAGAGAAACAAGCACCAAACCTGCTGTTCCCAATTCCCTCTGCTTGCCAGCAGGCGGCTGACTGAAACAGCCAAGAGATCCTGCACTCTGGAGCACTGGCAAGGAAGGGTAATTAACGATTAGATACCCTGTCTTCTTCAGGGCAGTACAATGCACACACATATGCTGAATGCAAAGCAGCCCTGGGATCACGGTGGGAGGAGGACTCCAGTGAGAAGCTGAGATTTTATTTTAATTCCATGACTTCTAGGCTGAAAGTTTGAGGATCTGAATGGATTTGAAGTCCCTAAGCACCTAGACCCTGCTCAGAAAATCCTGCTGCCAGAAAGCAGGATGCTGGAGGAATGTGTGTGTTTCCAACACCTGATTGTAAAGCACATGGGAATATTTATTTAGCTCCAGAATTGTGCAATTAAAACAAAAATTAGTTTGTAATGTATCTGACAAACCCATCAGGGCACCAGGAAACCTCACTTTGCATCGATCTTCCCAGGGGCTCTGCCGCCTTTAATCAGCAAGACCGGGAGCCAGGAGAAAGCTGGGATCCCCGGCAGGAGGGGTTTCTTCAATTCCTTCTGTGCATTTTTACCCTCTGTTCCTTCCTTCCTTCCACACACCCCTCTTATGAGTCCCAGGAATGCCCCTACACCAGGCTCTGCCCATTAGACCAACGCTGATGCAGCACAGCTGCTGCCAACCCAGCACAGGAGTGCCCTGTCCTCTTAAAGCTCCCAGACACTGCCTGATGTACTTGCATATACTTGGTCTATGCTTAGTGCCACTCATCACAGGCAGGCTTTGGGAAGTCTCCCCTTTGGCAACTAAATGCTAACAGGAACACAAAGAGCAAGAGATCTTTATTACTACAATCTGTTACACGAGAAGAGAGATCTCACTGGAGCTAGGACCACCCATATTTCCAACCACTACAACCGGGGGGAGGAGAGGGGCTGTGTGACCACCCAGCAGGAGTCACATGGGGGAGGGAACTATCTTCTCCCTCCCTCCAGACTTAGGATCCCTGCCAGCTGCACTGCAACTACAGGATATTGCTGTTCTCAGAGAGGCTGCAGGCAACCCCCAGGAAGGAAGGGAGGAAGCAAGCTAGGATGGCACAGGGCTCCTCATGCTGCCTGAACACCAAACGTTAACCCTGAAGAGACCATGCAATGTTTCCTGGTGCTCAGAGGAGCAGGAAGGACCTGGAAAGCCACTGGCAGGAAGCCAGCATGGAAGAGAAGTTTCCCTCGGCCTTGGCGATGGAGAAATGTTTGGCAGGGCCTGGGCTGTAAAGGCCAGTGGGAGAGTCAGCCCCTTGAGAGACAGAGAGAAGGGCAGGGTGTGTTCTACTGCACCTCTGGGATCATCTGGAAGAGCGCATTAGAGAACAGCGTCCCAATGGAGAGCGCGATGAAATAAGTGAGGACCCATCGGAAAAAGGCCTTGTTGGTGCAGGGCACGATGAAGACTCCAAGGAGGGAGGCCAGGTTAATCAGTGACACACTGAGAAAGCCAAAGCCCCACACTGCGGAACAAGAAGAAATGAGGGCTGGATTACCAAGGCTCTTTGGGGGTGGGGAGGGGCAGACGCCAGCAGCTCTGGATACAGCTGGGCAGGGAAGGCCAGGAGAGTCAGGCCTCACTGAGGAGGGGGCCTTGTTGTGACCAAGAATCACTCCCATCCGCTGTGCTACTTGGGATACTTTAACGGTGGGACAGTTACAGGACGGGGAGAGGGTGTGGAAATAAACCTGGTTAATGCGTCTCCATGTCTCTGAATTACTTTAAAGGGCACTGGGAGTAATTATGCTCCAGGCTACGTGCTCAGTTGTAGCCCATTAACAGGCTGGAAAAAGTGAGCCAGAGCCAGGAACGCCTGTGAGCAGGGGGGAGAATCGCAGGCATCAGAGATGGTCTAACAAGGAGTTCCTGAGACAATAACTGTGTGTTCCAATAGGGGGCGCTATCGTTCCAGAGGCCTGGGCCACTTTTGATTGTTACAGGTCCCCTGGCACTTTTGGAAAGTTAACCTAGGACTCTATTTTGATAAGCTCCTTTGGGGCAGTGTTTGCACAGCGCCTAGCACAACGGGGTTCATGGCTGGGCTCTGAGACACTACCACAATACAAACCACCAGCACCCTGGCATTCGTGGGAAATTCTAATCTGAGTAACTGCATGCTGCTTCCCTGAACTCTCCCGTAACTGCCGCGTGATGGATGGCATGCTATTCTTTACAGTCTGTCCCACAGCGCTGCTGTGTGGCTACTGAGACAGCTGCCGGGGTCCACTCAGAGGTGGCAGTGGTTTCAGGGGTGTGCAAAATGCAATTCATGTAAACAGCTTGTAATGTGCTTTGGATGAAAGGGGCTATAGAAATCCCTGTTATTTATTAACCTGCAACCAGATCCGCTAGTGAAAGATAAAAAACAGGCCCTGCTGAGCTGAATTAACTTGGAACAAGTGTGAGAGAGAATGTGAGTGAGTGTGTGTGGCTGGGGTAGCAGGCACAAACACAGGTAATCAATCACTACTTTCTCACTGATAGACAGCACTGCCTCTGCTATAACTACGGAGCAAGAGAGCACTGACTGCTCTGGGAACTAAAGTCACATATCCCCCAGCAAATTCTCCACTGTGCATTGTCTATGGTCCAATTACTGCTCTCTCTCTGCCCTGCAGTGCCATTGGTAGGGAAGGCGAGGGCGGATTCAACAGGCTGCAAACATTAGTGCCTCTGCGTTTTCCATGGAATCTGCAAGAAAATTACACTGGGGAAAAGCCATCAATATTCCAAGCTACCCCTGGAAAGTTCACTTTCCACGGTTGTCACAAGAGAAATGTCTCTCCCCGCCGACCATGAAAAGTCTTTGCAATGACCTAAGGAAAGAGAAAATCCAGCCTTGCATACGCAGGTGTGGAGGGGTGATTTTACTGGAGTCCCTCTGCTTCCAAACAACTGCCCCAAAGCCATCACTAAGAGGACAGGCTTAATAGCTGTACAGTGCATTCTGACAGCATCTTTCATCCCAAAGCACTGCAATCTCAGACAAGCCTCCTGGGAGGCAGGTAAGGATTGCCACACAGATTAAAGATGGGAAAACGGAGATGTGGGGACATTTGATGTGACTTTCTGTAACGTAACACTGGGGGATGGCGACTCAGACCACCCTTCCCCTGCACTCTGCCATCTAGCATTAATTGGGCTAGCACCTAACAAGCAGCCCCATCACGACTGCCAGCCAGATTCCACATTCAACTCAGAAAGCACCTTCAAAGGGCTACCTGTTGGAAAGCTGTGGTTTAATGTAAAATAAGACCCCCGCTGCCTAGGATCTCTGTCCCCACAACTCCCCTGTGTAACAAAGGGCCTGTCTATATGGGGAATTAGTTCACACTGGGCTGACACGCACTAGCTGGTGCGTGGCACGTAAGTTGCACTAACAGCATGCACGTGGGACAGCAGTGCCGTTTCAATTCACATTGTGCACATACGGCGGGCATGGTGCACGCTAAGCCTGTGGCATTCCAGGTGGGTATCCCATGCTCCTTTGCATCGCCAAGTGCATTCTGGGATTTTTCTCGCTGCACATTGTGGGATGTATAGCAAAGCTAGTGGAATTCTGGGACTTGGGAGTCAAACTCCCAAAAATCCCATGATTCCATTCCCTCCATCCCATGCTTCCTCTCTTTCTGGGCAGGCTAGCGCCGTTTTCTAATTGCTGTCAGCCAAAGACAGAGCTCTGGATGCACTGCACAGCCCCAGTGCGTTGCTCCTGCTGCAGGTCTCAGGCCATAGCTTGCCCTGGCAGGCTGGGAAGGAGAAGGGTTATGAACAGGCGCTATTACATTAAGCCCAGAATATGCCCCGTTTCTGCAGTGAGGGCTAGAAAAAGTATCTATGCCCTGCACTCGAGAGAGGCGCTCAGAAAGCTCACACTTCAGCAATGCCTTTAAAGCTAAAGCAGGTCCCGGTCCCCTCTCTGTGCCCACTGGCTATCCATTCACCTTCCGCCGAGCTGGGCTTCCCCTCCTCCGTCTGCTCGTTCTCCTCATTCTCTAGGTTCTCTGCCGTGCACGCCCGAGACTCCAGCTGCTGCAGGATGGTCGGGCAGAACTCCTGGAACTTGCTTGGGCCAACATGGGACCCTTCGCTCAGGTTGTGGGTAGCGAAGAGCTCAGAGGAGCTGAAGCACTGGCGTGGGGAAAAAGAGACCTTGAGCATCCCATGACTGTGCTCTGCTGTCCGGCTTGGTAACATGGGCATCCCCGGAGGGCTCCTTGATTGCATCCTCTCCCTCCTCCCAACACCTTCCCCTCCTGGCACAATGCACACACAGCAGCCGCTCATTGGACTCGGGCCTATCCCATTGCATGTGAGGCCCTAGCTCCCTCTGCAGGTCTAATGGTCCCACAAACCACCTAGCTGCAGGGGCTGTTTTTCTCCCCCTTCCCTGAGAATTCTCTCCACTCAAGAGGCAATATCCCGTCTCCCACCATCACAGCAGTTCTGCTTGGCCTGTAATGGATTCCTCCACCCACAAGGGCCAGGATTTCCCTCCCACACACCTTTTGCCCAACTTAACCAGCTGGCTCCCTGGGAGCCGAACACTGAACACAATGTACAGCAGCTGGGGCAGCAAGGGGAGCAAGCCAATATAGCAGGGGAAGCAACTGTCTCCAGAGTGGAGCTCAAGAAGATTCCCTGCATGGGTGACACAGGGCCCACGTGAGCCCAAGGAGTATCCCTGCAGAGAACATGGCCCATCTGATCATCCATTCCAGACAAGCTTAGCCAGTGGCCTGGTGACCCCACACTGTGTTTACGAGGGGGCAGCAGCTCAGGCTGTCCCTCCTGGGGCACTGCAGAGGGGGACACACAGGAATTCACATTACCCGGGAGAGGTTCCTGCGCTGCGGCTCTGATCGGGAGATGTTCTCGTGCCCCACCCCCACATCGAGGCGATTCAGCAGGGCCTTGAGCTGCTGCAGGGTCAGCACGTCGCTCTCGCCGTACCGGTGCAGGAGATCCTGCAGGAAGGAAGCTGCAGTGATGGCGGGCTGCGGCGAGGCGTCCGTGCCAGCCTGCGCCTGGCAGGAGATGCCCAGGAGGCAGAGCAGCATCACCAGGAGGGGGCATCGGGGACTCAAACCGAGGATCATGGTGACCAGGCAATCCTGCAAAAGGAGACCGGCGTTGTGGTTAACTTTAGTGTTCCCTGCAGACCTGACCACTAAGGGAGTCACTCCAGACAGCTCCTTGCAACGGTCTCTGTGTCCAACACCAGCCACTGGCTGCTGGACTGAAAGGGCACAGACAGCCTAGGTGCTAAGGCATGCAGCCAGCACCTCGTTGGGTAAGACCCACTCCAGTGAGCACGGCTGGTTGCACAGGGGCTGGAACTAGGGGTGCTGCTGCACTCCCTGGCTTGAAGTGGTTTCCATTCTATACAGCACCCCCACTATACAAATTGTTCCAGTACCTCGGCCTGGCTGGGTTAGGCCCCATCCTTCCAGCTGTCCTATCCTTTATTCGACTTCCCCACACAAGATAACGTGCACCCAGCGGTGAGGATGACACAGGCCTTCCTACGCCCTGTGAAGGTATGGCAGTGTGCCCTGCAGGGGGCAGCAGATTCCCTTTGCAGCTGAACATCACTGAACCCCATGCCACCTGCAGGCGTCCAGCTGTTAGTGTGACAGCCACGCTGCCAGGCACTCCCTCACCTGCACAGGGACAGTGATTCAGTGTGGAACAGAATTCCAACACTTGCCATGGTTAGTAGCGAAAGCACCGATCCCTCTGGCAGAGGAAAGGTACCTGGAGTCTTCCCCCCTGGTCTGTACCCAGATCAGGACTCCAGGTCCATGGCAGCTCTACTAAATACCAGAGATTGCACCATGTAGGAATTTCACAGGGAGAAACAGGCAGACACTGCCAGAAAAGGAGCTCTGCCATGTGGCCCGTTCCCGAAGGGTCACAGCCGCAAGGCCTGCCAGGAAAGGCTCTGCTTGCTGAACTGCGGCATGTGAGGAGCTGGAGCGGAAGGGGAGAGAGAGGCTGCAGGGCTGCTGTCGAGTGACTCCAGGAAGGTCAAGTCATGTCAACATTTTTTAAGGGAGAAAACCAACATCCATGCAAATGGGCAGGAACATTAATGGAGGGGTCCGGCACGCCGTGAGGTCAGATGAGGGGGTGGCAGCACACGCAAGCCCCGGGGGACACAGTGCTTCTCACAGCAGCCGGGAGCTCCAGGAGCCGGGAATGGGGGCGATGTGCATTTCAGGTTGCGGATCAGACTTGGGAGGTAATTTCCAAACTCTCAGGCAATGGTGCCACTAACCACCACTTCAGTCTCCACTGGCCACTGTGCTGGGTTTGTGCCTAGCAGCTTCTCAACTGCTCATGCAGCCACACAGTGCTCCCTGGCTGGCAGCCCTCTCCCCAGGACAGTGATATCCAGCACATACAGAAACATTCACCCCCATGACACGAGGTGGTCAGGATTACTGCCAACGTTTGGCCTGTGGGGAAACTGAGACAGAGAGAGCCATGACTTGCCCCAAGCCACAGAAGGACTCTCTGTCAGACGCGGGAATTGTCCTTGGGAGGCCAGACAGTGCTGCCTCACTGAAGGGATTCAGAGGTGGAAGGGGACTGTCCATCTCTCCAGCCAAGCAGCACGGACCGAGCCCTGAGTGGCAGACAGGGCCACACTGCCTCACTCACCCCCCTCCCCCACCGTGACAGCAGACCTCAAGAGGCATGGTGTCAGAAATGAATGGAGAAGCCCCAGAGCATCCGCTGCCAGAACCACACAGGTATTCCCCTGCTTTGGAGAACCCCCGCCATGCTCACAGCAGCGTTCCCCCGACGCAGGGCACTCACCTTAGGCCCAGAAACACGCTGGAGTAACCTGGAACAGGCGCCGGCAAGCAGGGCACGCCGAATGCTCACGGACAGCGGAGCTCACAGTCCCTGGAAGGGGGAGAGGCAGTGTAAAGGGAGGATGGAGTTTGCAGCGGGAGAACCATAGCGTTTCATGCTGCTCTCCTGCTGCCACAACGCTCTGCCCATGGGACGGGACAGTGAGCCAGGAGCTACCGAGGGGCAAAGGGTTTTGTCTACATGCATGGCTAAGGCTGCCTGCTGAAAGGCGTTCGTCCCAGACCCATCACACGGCTCTGTGCTTCTGCAACGCATGGGATGGGCCAGGTGCAGGCTGTTTCCCCCACCTCTTATCTTCTCGCGCCAGAGCACCGAGGCCGTCAGGCTCTCAGCACACCAGGCCAGCAGAGCCACTGCAGTAATGCAGCAGAGCGTTTCAGGGGACGCTCACGTCTACAGGGCCCTGGGGGAGACAGCCCACGAAACACGCCTCCTCCAAGACTGCAGAGCTCTCCGGAGCACAGCCCGCATGCCAGCAGCCACCACTGCCCTGGCGCAAACATCGTCCCAGTCCCCGCAGTGCCTGGAGGCTGAACACGGCAGCCTTGACCTAGCAGCTGGATCAGAGGTTTGGGAAACTTCCTGTGAAGGGGCCAGGCCAAGGAATTGGCAGCTGGCTGCGGCAGCTTTCGCTTCCTTTGGACACCGAGCGCCAGAAGGCCCCCTCCACACAGACCCACAGAGGGTGCAGGCGAAGAATTTGTACCCGCCTACTGCCCCCAAGAATTTGTACCCCCCTCTGCGTAGATGGACGGGCACCACAGCCAGGGTGTTAGCTGAGTGCAGTGTTCCAGGCCTGAAAGCTGCACCATGCCTGGTTTTATTCACCCTCTCTTTCCTCTGTATCTTCTAAGTTACAACCACTGCTCAAAGCCTTCAGTGATGATGGCTTTAGACCTGGGCCCCTATGACCACACCCCTCCCCATATGGTCAGTTACCCTGATGGCCTATCCAGGGCCTAGAGTGACCCCAGTGCAGGCTTTGCACACTCAAGACAAGGCCCCTGCTCCACGGGCTTCCAGCCTAACTCACACAAATCTCAGACCCACATTCAGACAGGAGGCACGCAGATGATAGCACAGCGATCAGCAGTGCAGCTTTGTGGAAACCTGGGTGCTGGGCTGTAGCGAGTCATTCTGAGCTGTCTGGGAGCCCAGGAGAAGCATGCAGCAGCTTGAGTGCCTCAGCAATAAGAGGTGTCCATTATGTTATATTTTAACCATGCTGCTAATTATAAGTTGAACCATATCCCAGTGTCCTCTTCCCCAGGCGGAGGCGTATATGTATTTTTCTTTTATATAAAAGATTATCTGGCAAGGGCCAGGTAAATATATCAATAAAACTGTACAGCGCTACAACACTGGGCAGCACCAGCTCTGCCACACAATATGTCCTGAGGCACAAAGAGGGCGGCCTTACATAAGAACACAGGAATTGCCAGACCTGTGCTCCCATTTAGCCTGGCATCCTGTCTCTGGAACTGGCTAGTACCAGCTGATTCAGAGGATGATGCAAGAACCTTGTAGAAGGTAGTTATGGAATTATCTGCCATCAGAGGATGTTTCCTCCTGACCCCTCATACCTTGAGACAAGCTGAAGCCCTGAAGCATGAGGGTCGAAATCCCAATCCTTCCAGGCTCTTATTAAAAAATACCATTATAAATATTACTGACCAATACCAGTGTCCTTTAACTGCCAGGACAGTCACCAGACCATGCACAGGAGCTGATCTAGGACTTCTCCTACCTAGTCTAATAAACAGGCTTACAGAATGCCTTACTGTAGGTAATGTTTCATGTGTCCAGTGAAGTCACCACAGTGTGTTGGGTGAAACAGTGGCCCAGTTAAATGGCAGTGGCAGCACTGTCTTCAGTGGGGCCAGAATTTCACCCGCTGTGCTCTGCATGGCAAATCTCTCCAAGGTAAAGCCACCTGGCACCCATGGGAAGGCTTCAGGTGGCTACTCCAGCTATTTCTGTGCAGCTGGTTCATGGCCAGCTGGAATCAGGAAAACATTCCTCCCCCCATTCCCCAGCATGGCAACAGGAGGCGCATTATGGCATCCAGCACAGAACAGATAATTAAGCCTCCATATAAATCCACAAGGCTGAGAAATGGAAGACACTTGCACGGATGGGGCTTCTTGCTGCAGTCCAGGAACGAGGCTACGGCTTGCAATTCCGATAAGCACTGTAGAGTTGGACTGTTTCCATGGGAGGGGAAAGTTGTGTCTCTGGGACACAGGAACATTGACACATTGTGCTGCTGAGACCTTATCAGGGAAAAAACCTTGGGTGCCAGGGAATGTTGACTCTCTCTCCAGGAAGGTCATCTGCACACTTCAGTATGGTTTACGTTCTTCGCTTAGGCCTTGCCAGATTTCTCCCCAGATCTCAGGCCATTCGCTGCTGAAGCAGACTTTGGTACAGGAGTAGCAGCACATCCCCAGCTGGTGCCCAGTATTTTAGCAAGTGGGGTATCTTAGCCATTAAGCCTGAGGAAAAGCTGCTTTGAGTCCCTGCTGTGGGCATAGTTATTTTCAGGACTCTGGGCTTCAATAAACTACTTCAACTGCCCAAGAGAAGGATGGTGAAGTGGACAAGACTGGGACTCCCAAGATCTATGTTCAATTCCCAGCTCTGGCACAGATGTCCTGTGTGACCCTGGGAAAGTCACTTAGCCTCTCTGTACATCAATTCCTCATTTGTAAAACAGGGATAACACCACTCCCCTGCCACACACAGGTGTGGTGAGAATAAGTGCATTAAAGATTGACACACTCCGATACTTTGACACAGAGATTACTGCAAGGCGTAGGGGTGTGTAATTCACTATGGGGCCTTGGAGGTGGTTTGTATTCAACCCAGGCTGGCAGGGACTCAAAGTCGCTCCCTCCTGGCAGCTGTTTAGTACTCTCTGTGAAATGAGTCTGGGGGGGAAGATCAGAGAGGCCAGGGGGACTGATCTCCCTTCCCCTCCCCTCATGGTGGCTGCTCCTGCTGTGGGTGGGATGCAGGTCCAACATGCCCTATGCCTGAAGGGTGTCACACCAGCATTGCATTGACTTAAGACACTGACGTTTGTTGCTCTGCGCGCACACACACACACACACACACACACACACACACACACACCTATCTATGACCTAGAGGGGAATTCGGTCTGTGCTCCCGTTCACTAGGCCCACAGCCATATTCAAAACAAACCTTTGCTGATGTGTTACAGACTTTGGTCTCCTCTAGAAGTTGATCTAAGGTGTTTTTGGACCCTACCCAAGCAAATGTTCTGAAAATAAAAGTTTGGCTCACTGGCCGGAGCCATATTTGGACTGGCAAGGCCTCTCCTGACGGGTCTGCTCTGCAAGGAGCGGTTCTCCCAGCCCCTCACATTGACTGGGGCTGGGTGGGAGAAGCAGAGGTTCTGTTGTTGCCAAGTCAAAGCTACTCAAAGCAAACCAAACTCAGGCGCCCAATGGTGTTGTTATGCCACATCCACCGCTTTCTTATTAAAAAGGGATCGACATTCTCACAGTCTCAAGAGCTTACTGCAACTTTGAAATCTTTGTTTTTTAAAAAGCACCAGGAATTCCTTCAGAGAGAATTGGCCGGGAAGGTTTTAGCAAGGGCTTAGGGGGGATGATTTACCGATTTAACCCCTCCCCTCCCAAATCCGGAGAAAGGCAATGCATCAGGAAGCAGTGCAGCGCAGATTTCAGGACGTGCCAGGGACACAAACACTTCCACCAATCCCCCTCAAGACTGCAGGACCCACCCCTTGCTCCCACCTTGTCTCAGAGCTCCTTGCTGTTTTAAAGAACTGGGGACAAGGCCTGGTAAAGGTCTGCAGCACACAGACAGGAGATTGAGGTTAAAAGGTACAGCCCAGCCGGACCACATACTCACCCTTGGGAAGATGGAGTGTGACATAGCTGCTACCCCTCTGTCTTTTTAGATGGGCTTGGCAGCTAGGTGAGAAGGGAAGAATAGCCTCAGGTTTCTTGTCTCCCCCCTTCCCAGCACTCAGTTTACCAGCTATTTCCATCCCCCCAACCCATACTAAGCCAGTCACCATAGAACACAGAAATTGTCAGAGCAGATCACATCAATGGTCCAAATGCACAGTGCTATAATGACAAGAGTGTAAAACCCTGCAATAACCTGCCCATAGGAATTTTCTTCTTGATCACCAGCAGTTAGTGGCTGGCTGGTACCCAGAGGCGTGAAGACTTTTACCCCTTACACATTTCTATCCTAGCTACTGTAACTGCAGATTATATCCTCATTTACAGGGATGTCTAATCCTTAAACACTTCCTCTCTGAGCTGCCCAGAATGACACCCAGGTTTGTTTCCCTGAATGGCGACCGTTGGTGAGAACCCCCCCCATCAACATGTAGGAGTAATTCAAATTGTTGCTTCCAGCATACCTGCAGTGAATTTCATTTGATACCATGTTGTTAGGTCCCTCTGAAGTTCCTCATAATCCTTTACTTCTAACTAACCCGCGAATGTTTGTCTCCACTGCAAATGCAGCCACCTCTCTGTCCAACCCCCTTTTCCAGATAAAATATATTTAAACAGCACTGGGTCAAATATACACCCTATTAACCACCTCCTGCCTTGCTTAAAACTGACAACCTCAGTCATCTGCTCAGTAAATACAGTAAGTGCATTATACTGACTGCAGAAGAAATTTTTAACTAACACCACTCACACAAAAAAACCTTCCCAGAAGTCTGAGCTGCTGGAATTCATGGAAACTATGAGAATGTCACTAAGATCACACCACTCCCAAGTTTCTCTCTGCCAGCTCTGTATCCTGAGGTGCAGGCGTGGAACAAGAATGACTATTCAATTCAGTAAAAGTTACAGCACTGCTCTCACATATGTCAGAGCTTTAGAGTTTAAAAAGATGCCTGCTAAGCAATGCATGTGGCTTGGGTCCTGTCTTCAGGGCTAACGGTGGTGTGTTTTTTACCTTAGGATGATTAATATGTGTGGGCTATCCCAAGGTAAAAACACAACACACATCAAGCACATAAACAGTCAGGAAACCCCACCCTACCCCACCCACAGCTGACCTCTGGAAAAATTTACCTCGCAGTAAAACTAAAGTGCCTGGTCTTCTTTGTGAAAGAACATACCCCATAACCACTGCAGAGTTGAGCACAACAATGCAAGAGCAGCCAGAGAGAGAGACCTGTCATAGTACATTATGAGGGTTTACATGGGGCTGCAATGGCAAAAGAGGATTGGTGACAGGATTCAGTCTCACTCTGAAGTTGGCAGTTCAAAACCAGACCATGCTGTTAGTGTTCAAAACTCATTCCCCTGACACCTGTTCAGTGGCAGACCTGGAAAGAGCTGGTGGACTGGTGTCAGTTCCACAAGTCACTACCACGCCCCTGCTGGCAATCTTGGAAGAGACCAAGGATGGAATGGGCCATGGGGAGCAAGCTCCTCGCTTCCCTAAAGGAAGTTCCTCCTGAGTGAAGCTGAAACGCATTGGCAGGGGATGATGAGCCGCATGTTGTGCCTGCCCTGTGGATAGTTCACTTTCCAGGGATGGCAGCCAGCACATTTCACTAGCACTACAAGAATTACAAAGGGTTAGATCTCCAGGAACTCAGTCTGAACCTCACTGGCACTGGGGAGCAGGGTGTTTTTTCTTCATTTTTTTTAAAGGTTCAGAAGCTTCTCCAGCTAGCAAAGGCATTCTCAGTTGATAGTATACTGGCCCACAGATGGGATCTAATCACAAGGAGATTCCCCGTCACACCCTCATGGTGCCTCTTGTCCTTTGTCAGCATTTCCTAGATCATGACTACACAAGGTGTAGCACTCAGAATGTTGCAAACCCCCAGTCAGAAGAACCCCATGTTGCTTTGCAGCCATTTTTGCTGCACTGGGAGACTGCAGAAGTTTCTTCTAAGGGACCCTTTCAGACTGGTAACAGCAGGCCTGGCATCCCTGGTGCATGCAGGAAACGTGGTCCAGAGCATGCAGGAAAAGTGATGATACAACATGCAGGAACAGTTCTATAGTGCAGATCCTGAGTGTCGCTAGACATCTACTCCCATGCTGCCGAGTGAAAGGTTCTAAAGAAATGCATGGAGGATGTCTTTCAAGATTTATTTCCCTATGCTTGGAGGAATCAACCCCCACCTGTCCCCTATTCACTACTTCATTTTTTTGGAGCCACCAGTGTCATTTAGAGAAAGGACAGGACAGGATAGCAGGCCTCCCAGGAAGGAAAGGCGATGAAAGCCTGAGAACAGGGGAAGACTAACAGTACAGGGCAATAGCCTGGAAAGAAAAGAAGCCGTGAGTCTGGAGCATCCCTTTCTGAACGGAGGAGGGGGAGGAATTTCCAGTGCTCGCTGGAAACAGGAGCAGTCCAGCTGCCCACGTGCAATGGTTACAAGAGACACCTCACACAACTAGTGGAAAACCACCACCTCCCCGCCTCTCTCACACATTCAGAAATCCACAGCTAGACTGGCTGGCATCCTGCCTGTTTCATCTCATGTTAGAATTCTCCACCCCCACCAGAGATTGACCTCCTGAGGTATCCTCTGTTTGATTCAACACCCATTAGCCTCTCTGTCAGCCCACTGAGCCCTCTGACCAGGAACATTCTTGATACAGGTGTAAAGTCTGCTGGGTTTTCATTTGAAAGGAGATTTGCAGCGTTACTTTTAAACAGAGGGGGTGGCAGGCCTGAGTCCCAATCGGGTCAGATCTTGCCCCCAAGCACCTGTTGATGGCTCAGCCCCAACACCTGGGAAATGACACAGTCAAAAGCAGCAACGTTTGACCTACTTGGAATCGAAGAGAGCAATATTTCGTCCTTGTCTCCCTCCCCACCTTTGGCTCACTGCTCTCAAACCCCAGGATGTTTGAATGTCAGGAAGAAACACAGTGAGTAGAGGACTCAAAACCAGGATCCTGTGAATTCGTCATTAACCCCATCTTACAGAGCAGGAAAACGACCTGCCCAAGGGAGACAGTGAGTCAGGAGCAGAGCTAGGGATAGACCCTAGTCCTTAAAGTGTATCTAATTCTTTGAACGTGCAATGGAAATGCGAAGTATTACACATTATTGTGATGCTTGAACACAAGCCTGGAAGTAACATGTTAATTTCAGCTAGAGGGAGAACCAATGTTTCCCAGGGCAAGAAGACACCCCATGTGAGAAAGTTATTATTTTCAAGCATTTGTGTTATTTGTTCAAACATAGGCAAATTAGAAAGAGTTAAAAGCATATGGTGGTGTTACATCATGCTACCTTCCCCTTTCTGCTCACTAGTAAGGTGCTACCCATCAGCTTGCAATCCTCTGACAAAGATCCCGGGATGTCTCAGCATCGCCCCTCTTCATAACCCACCCAACCCACACCACGTTCCAGAAACAGCCCCAAGACACTGGCTGTGTCAACATGAACGGCATTTGAAACCTCCAGCAGAGGGGACAGGAGAAGTCATTGCAGCTTTTACTGAAACAAGGTCAAAAGGGCACATTTTCCATATGCCTAACCACTCCCTTCATGCTTTAAAAGCTCAGACTTCTCCAGACTATTCAGCCCCTTCAACACTGATGTTTTTAACCCCCTTCTCCTCCCAGAGCGTGGATGGGAAGCATCATTGCTGTAGTACCAGCGTTAGCATTCCCCTCTCCTCTCTCACTGCAGGCATGTTTCTCAACCCTCTAAAGCACATTCTCTCCCCACACTTTCGCTCACTGCAACTATAAAGGTGTGTGCAATACGCCACAATCTTACACCACATGCACGACAGGCCAACAGTGCAAGCAGAAACAACTCCACTGACATCACCAGAATTGTGCCTGCTCACACCAGTACTGCATATGGCCTTGTAATGGTATCCCCGTTACCACCTACTGGGAATAGGTGTGCCCATCTAAGTGGTTCTTGGCTGTCTAAATCTGGCCTACATGCCTTCTCTTTCAAAACGGACAGTCCTACATGGCATGGGATAGTGCGTCTCAGTCTAGTTCCCCGTAGGCAAGTGTCCAGACAGCAAAAATCATTGCCACCAGGGGCAATAATTAACCCGCTTGTTGGCAGTCTCCTTGCAGAAGGCAAGGACTGAATTGCATACCAGCTGCCCTTTGCCTTGCATATTGCTTTGCATCTACGGATATCACAGCAATTCACAAACAAGGGAGGAGAGCAGGTTAAAAATCATGTTTAAAGAAAAAAAAACCAAACAAACAAGAAGTCCACACTACTAGTAACACACCTGGTGATTAGAACTGATGGGCATTTGAAAGTGAAACTGACCTCACAGCATTTATGCTATTAGTCGGTCTTCTGCATTTTCCCCAGCTCAGCAAGAGATAAGGGAGTAGCCAGTTTCACTACTATTTCTAACCATTTCCCCCCTTCTCCAGCCTCAGCCCAATGCCACAAGGGCCAAGTGGCAAAGCAGGGAAAGTTGTGACAGGGAAATATTTAAACACAAAGGAAGGGTCTGAATGATTAAAACATTTCTACCAATAGGCTGTGCAGATTCCACCCAGCAGCTCTCAATCCACCTGTGAAGTAACCCTATCTCCTTCTGTGAGACACAGAGAGTAAGTGACTTGCACAAGCCCAAAGAGGGGGTCAATAGTAGGACCAGGAGAGAACCCAAGACTTCTGACCCTCCACCTCCCTCCCAGAGCTGTGAGTAGCACATGTGCTCTATGTGAGGACTGCAGTCTTGGCCAACAATTGGAGCATTACCTGGAGCTAGGGTACCTTCTGGGATTTGTCAAAGAAGAAGAGAAGAGCAGCCCCTCCAGTGTAATATCTGGCTTCTAGCAGCATCCAGTCCTCTGGGAGGAATTATTCCTGGCACCCATTAGGCATAAGTGCAGACTGTGAACAGCCCACCAGTTTCACTGCTCTCCCCAAGCGTGTCCTTGCCTGTCCTGCAGTGTCCCTTCAGGCAAATGAATGTCCACAAATTACCTCTGCTCCCTACATGCCCCTGCCCAGGCCTTGATATCAGCTGTTCTCCAAGCCCTCTGCCTCTCTTATCCCCTCTCAAAGATGCCACTACCTCTTCCACTCCCAAGGCCCAGCAGAGCCCCCTTCCCCACCCACAATAAAGTCTTTCTTTCCCCCCTCACCTGGCTTCTCTGCACTCCCTCTACCTACTCAGTGCCCTGCCATCTCCTTGGTGCTTAGCTCCCTGTTGTCATACCCCCAGATACCACTGATACTCCACAGCCAGGGCCCTCTCCGCTTGCCCCACAGGCAGACCACCCGCTCACTGCCACCCTGATACTGCCCAATTCCTAGTGCCCTCAGCACCTGCCCTGGTGTCACTCCGGTGCCCCAGGGACCCAGAGCCAATGCCCATCACAGCAGCTCGGCACTAGCATCCCAACTCTGCTGTACCATCACACCCAGTTCACACATCCCCGCCTCTGCCAACCCCCAGTTCTCCTGGAGCCTAGACCCTGCAAACTCACCCACAAGTCCTGCAGCCCTCACCTCCACTGCTGGCCAGGACCTGCAGATCCTCAGACACCCCCTACACAGCACCCCCATGTGCCCTGACTCCCCCCACCCAGCACCCCCTCTGCCCAGCAACCCCTGTCCCCCCACCCCCTCTGCCCAGCAACCCCTAGTGCTCTGACTCCCCCCACCCAGCAACCCCTGACCCCCTACTCCGACCCCGTCTGCCCAGCACCCCCTGCCCCCATCCCCTCTGCCCAGCACTCCCTAGTGCCCTGACTCCCCCCACCCAGCACCCCCTCTGCCCAGCACCCCCGATCTCTGCACCACCCTCTGCCCAGCACCCCACAGTGCCACGACCCCCTGTGCTCAGCACGCCTCCAGCACCTTGACCCCTAGCCACGCGGCCCTGACCTCACCGCCCGAGCTGCAGCCCCCGGGGCCACGGCGCCGAGCGCCGGCCGCCACCCGCAGTCCGGCCCCGATCCCGGCCCTCACCTGCCGGCGCGGCCCCGCGGCGCTGTGCGCTCGGCCCCGAGCCCGGCCCGTCCCCAGCTCCGCACGGGCCCGCGCAAGCTGCAAGGCACCGGCGGCGCACGCTACGTACCAGGGGGAGAGCCCAGCGGCTCCGCCTCCTGCACACAGCCATTCGCCACTGGCCCGCGTCGATTAGCATAGCCACGCCTCTGCTGGCTCCGCGACACGCCCATTCGGAAGCCAAGAGGACCACGTGGCGCGTGGGGCGTCCTCGCTTCGGGCCCAGTGACAGTGGTGGTGGAAGGGGGAGGGGAAGGTGCTGGGGTGAGGGGAGGTGGGGGAGCCCCTTGTTTTGTTCTGCGTTTATACAGCCCTTAGCACAGTGAGCGCCTGGTTCCTGCCTGGGGCTGCTAGGTGCTTCTGCAATACCCATAATAAATAAGGGGCAGGTCTAGGAGAGAACCTGTGCATTCCAAATACAATCTGCACTATTAAAACACATGTGACAACGGTGTGTGTGTGAGAGAGAGAAGGGGCTGTACTCTTTGCCTGTATCTACACTTGCACATCTGCCTATGCCTCTGCGTGTACCCCACTACACACTTACAAACCCCACGCCCAGCACCAGGAATGCAGGGCTCTGCAGTTTTCCCACGCAGAGTGAGGCGCTAACCTGATTAGAATCACAGGCTTAGGGTGGATTACAATATAATAACAGGGTGGATGACAAGAGCATAAATAATAAATGAATAAAAAATGACCCTTTGTCCTTCTCTAGCCCCTTCCTCATGGGGCCCTCACAGCTCTTTACAAACCCTCATGAATTCAGTTACAGCAAGGCAGCATCGTCCCCGATTTAGACAGAGAGAAAGTAAGGGATGAAACTGGCCCAAGGTCACACACAAGTCAAGGGCAGAGACAGGAAACAAGCGTCCGGGTTCCCAGAGTTGCACATTAACCAAAAGACCATCCACTTCCCCCCCCCTTGTAGGGTGACCAGATGTTCTGATTTTATAGGGACAGTCCCAATTTTGGGGTCTTTTTCTTATATAGGCTCCTATTACCCCCCAACCCCTGTCCCGATTTATCACACTTGCTGTCTGGTCTCCCTACGCTCTGGGGGCCATGCTCAAGCATTGGCCTTTTCATCCCCATCTGCAACAATAACCGGCTTTTCTGTAGTGTTTTTCACCCACAGACCTGGAAGCACTTTACAAAGGAGGTCAGTATCATCCACCTTTTACAGATGGGGAAACAGAGGCAGCAAACTGATTTGCCCAAGGTCACCACGCAGGCCTGTGACAGAGCTGGGCATGGAATTCAGATCTCCTGAGTCCCGGTGTGAGGCTCTATCCTATGAGTCTAGCATTTCTTCCTCTTGACAGCTCTTTGGCATGACAGAACCAGCACTGATAGTTTTCAGAGTAGCAGCCCTGCTAGTCTGTATCCGCAAAAAGAACAGGAGTACTTGTGGCACCTTAGAGACTAACAAATTTATTAGAGCATAAACTTTCGTGGGCTACAGCCCACTTCTTCGGATGCATATAGAATGGAACATATATTGAGGAGATATATATACACACATACAGAGAGCATGAACAGGTGGGAGTTGTCTTACCAACTCTGAGAGAAGTTTTTTTTTCTCTTACTTAATTGGCCTCTGAGAGTTGGTAAGACAACTCCCACCTGTTCATGCTCTCT